GTAAGTAAATATTTTTTTTAAATTCTCATTTTAAAAAGAAAAATAAAACTCCATACTGTAAAAAACAGATAAAATTGAAAACAGGGATAGGAACAGTTATTTGTACACCAATGTTTATAGCAGCATTATTCACAACAGACAAAAAGTGTGTGAACAACAATCCAAATGTCCATCCACAGATGAATGGATCACCAGAATGAGATATATACACACAATGAAATATTAACCTTGAAGACCTTATGCCAAGTGAAACAAGCCAGACACAAAAGGACAAATGTTGTATGTTTCCCCTCATACAAAGTACCTAGAGTAAACAAATGCCTAGAAATGTATTATGTGTATTAATTTGAAGTATATGAAATTTGCATTTTGTTAGGTCAAAACCATTCAAACGTATGCCATTTCTTACAGTTCAACCTAATACATTAAAAAAGGAAGAGCTAGTCATTAAGGAAATTGAAAACTATATTCAAATATAATGAAATATTTTATATATATATTTTAAGATTTCATTTATTTATTTGAGAGAGAGAGACACAGTGAGAGAGGGAACACAAGCAGGGGGAGTGGGAGAGGGAGAAGCAGGCTTCCTGCGGAGCAGGGAACCCGATGCGGGGCTCGATCCCAGGACCCTGGGACCATGACCTGAGCCGAAGGCAGACGCTTAGCGACCGAGCCACCCAGGCGACCCTATATATGTTTATGTTACATAAGTGCCATGAAATGAAGGACTTGATCCTTTTTATTTCTGCTATATCTCCATGCTTGGTAGATACTTAGGTACTGTATCAGTTTCATACAGCTGTTATAAATTACCACACCGCGGGCGGCTTAAAGCAACAGAAGTTGATTCTGTCACATTTCTGGGGCATAGGAGTGTGAAATTAAGGAGTCACTATAGCTATGCTCCCTCTGAAAGCCTCTAGGGAAGAATGCTTCCTTGCCTTTTCTAGAATCTGCTGGCTGCCAGCCATCACTGGCATCCCTTGGCGTGCGTCTGCAACACTCTACTCTCAGCTTGCGCATTCACATGGCTGTCTTCCCTCTGAGTGTCCCTGTGCCTAATTTCCCTCTTCAGACAAGGACACCAGCCCATTGGATTGGGGCTCATCCTAATTCAATATGACCTTATCTTAACTTGATTCCATCTACAAAGACCCTATTTCCAAATAAGGTTACATTCACAGGTAATGGGAGTTAGCACTGAACGTATCACTTTATGGACACAATTCAACTTGATTCAGGTACTCAACAAAATATTTGGTGAATTGATGAGAAGAAAATTTATGAATCGAAGTTAGAATTTTAGAACTTCCCAGCATCTGTTATAATTTTACAGTTGTTTATTAGAGACAAAATTCTTTTTTTTTTTTTTAAGATTTTATTTATTTGAGAGAGAGAGCAACAGAGAGAGCACAAGCAAGGGGAGGGGTAGCGGGAGAGGGAAAAGCAGACTCCTGGGTGAGCAGGGAGCCTGACGCGGGACGCGATCCCCGGGACCCTGGGATCATGACCGGAGCTGAAGGCAGACGCTTGACCAACTGAGCCACCCAGGTGCCCAACACCAAATTCTTTTTGTCTGCTGAATTTATTAGATGTCCCTTTCAGATTGCCTTCATCATCTCCCCTCCTTCAGCAATGACTGAGAATATTTAATAAACTATGGCTTTTGTAAAGTTTGTATTGATTTGCAAATATGACATGTGGTGTGTGCTAGCTTATATTGGTTTTAAAGAGATATTTGAATTTATAAAATCCCAAGAGCAAATAAATAATGAAAAACTTAAAACCTAACATGTTTAAAATTAGGCTATCTTAATGGGCTACAACTATTATCATACCTATCTCATAATAAATTATAAGTTTGACTCATACTTTTCAGTTGGTAATAAATATATTTCCAAGCAGAACTACAACAGCTCTGCTGCTATTTTTTAAAAACCTCCTTTGTACCTTTATGGTTATTTGTCATTTAACTTTTAAATTTGTCATAAAGTCAAGTCATACAAAGTAAAAATTACCCCTCCACATGATGGAAATTTCTTAACATGTAATTAATGGCAGAGTCATAAACATGTGAAGTTTTTTAATGTTACAGGAAATAAGCAAGAATATTTGTTTTATTATAAGCAAGCAAAAGAAAATGAAGATGGAAAATAAAAATATTTTTTTAAAAACACATAAAGAGATTTTGGAAGTAGGAAGCATTATCCCATGAGACTAGTACACATGGTCAAACTATAATAAAAGGAAGTGAGATCACCCAAACATCATCAACACTTCAGGAAACAAGGCTCAGAGAGGGAAAATTATTTAGCTAAAGGAATAAAATAAACTTTCACTAAGTATATTCACATTAATCTGGGAGATGAGTATAACAGTATGATATAATACCATTTATTTGTGACTCTGATTCAAATTGTTCTTCTGACTGAGAAGATTATTTTTTTGCCGGATTATTGATTGGGATTTTTCCTTTTTTGTTTCAGTAGTGAAAATAACGTCTCATTTTTCTTATGTGATAGTAACCAGATCTTCATTGTTTTAATCCACTTCCAGCTATCAGATGAAATATTTGGGAGTCAAGAATCAAAGTCATGAAATTTTTGTGCCTTTTAGACTTTGCTTTTATGCTGTCTGTTGAAATTAGTATATTTTCTTTGGTTCATCAATTTCTCTTCTGTATTTGTGGGGTCAAGTACTTTATTTCAGAAATGAATAAACTAGCTTAAAAACTTAAAGAGCTTTAAAAACAAATTATGGTCTTATATCTATGTCTGATTCTGGCTCTTGTCTAAGAGACAGCGTATGTTGAAAGAGCTCTGGGAGATGCTGGGAGATTATATAACATGTATACATAGTACTTTACATGAGGCTTGGTAGAAAATAAAGGGCCAATAAAATGTTTTGGCAGGCTCTGTCTCCTGGTGTCCTGAAATTTCCATCTCATCGCCATTAAAATAATCAAATCTGATCTTTCCCAGAGAAAGGAGGGAGCCTCTAGTCTGGCAGCTCCTTCAGTAATAAGGCATTTCAAAATGTGATTACAAATATATATTTTAAAGTCATTATATTAATTTGATAATCTTTAGAATAATTCCTGAGAATATCTCAAGTCATCTAAAATTCCTCAG